GCAAAATCCATCTGTGAGCCCGTGCTACGTGATACATGGGACCGTACCATTTCGCATGGTGCACCTTTTCGTGCCATTCCCATGTCGCTGCGACCCACCGTTGTCGAGGTTTTGGGGCGAGATGGCATAATCGGTCGGAGGCAATGAATTACAGCAGCCAGTCATTTAAAACTTAATATCTTGCAATTTGTTCCGCGATTACAGCGCAACGTTGCGTTGCACAAACTCGCGATGCGACTGAAAGTGTACCCGTTTCGATTACGAATGTTGTGAAACAAAATCCACACATGTACGCGCACGGCGAACACAGCAACCGTCACATACAGGGCGCCGCCGACCACCAGGCGTGAGCCGAGATCGCCCACGTGGGTCTCCCGCCCGCCGGCTCACAGCCGGACAAGCTGATCCGGAGCAATAGAACACTGACTGAGTAAATAGAATGGATAGAACACGGACTGACCCAACGCCACAATGCTCGTGGTTCTATAGGAAGGCTGGCGAAATGAACAAAGTCGAAGGCCAGCCGCGAAAACGGCCACTTCGACCTTTAACAACCACGGTGTACGCCAGGAGCCGGGACAGCAACTTGCCGTCGTCGCGGTGAAAAAGCCGTCATGCAACCCGAGGTCTGGGTTTAGTCGAGGCTCACTTGTGTGCGGCAGTTTTTAAAATGTGATCAGCAAAAGTGCATAAGAGACAGGATGCATCGGCCCATACGCTGAGGTTTTCAACACTAAATCACGCAAAGTTTTGACGGTAGCGGCTTGTATTCAGCGGCCGATTTTTAGAACTTGGCATCTTTCAATATGTCCTGCAATTGGCAGCGCAACGATGCGTTGTAAAAACGCGCGATGTGCACTGGAAATGTAGCCGCTTCAATTCTGAATGTTGGAAAACAAAATTCAGACCTCTACGTGCTTTGAGCGCCGAGATATGACGGTAAACATAAAACCCATCAAAGGGGCCGATTTTATCTTGTCAACACGTGTGCACGTAGCACGTGTCACGTGGCGCAAAAAACTCACACAAATGCGACGGTCCATTCCGTGCGCTATCGCACTGTGCAAGTTTCATGTCGCTGCGACCATTCGTTACCGAGATACGGCTTCGGGAAGCGGACGTGTCGGGCCGCCGGCCCCGGCCGTCTCGAAATTGGCGTCGCCCGTG